TTCTTTAATCTTATCTTCTTATCTATCATGGTGCAGCTGTCAGTGGGACGGACGTACACCAAATCAAGATACTGCTATTTGTTAATATGAAAAAAAGGCAACTAGCGCAAAAGCATAAGTGGACATATTGGAAAATGAATCGAGCTGAAGGAAATAAATGCAAGTATTTCGTAGTTCGTCAAACAAAAACTTCTATAGATATACAATTTTAAAAACTACTAAAGTATTATATGTTTTTATACATAAAGTATTTTTAGCCTAAAGAAATCATAAAATTTGGATTTTTTATTTTTTTTTTTATAATAAAAATAAAACTTTCTGAAATTTTAATGTTGATTTTTGACAGAATCTGACCTTTAAAACTAAGCCACAAAATTTAATTGAATTAATTTGACTAATTTATAATCCCACCCAAATTTTCAAATATGCCGTTACATTTTGCTATATCAAAAGAAAAAAGTGGTAAATGGAAACTGCGATACATCTCTGTTAAACTTAATTCATTTCGGAAGTTTGTGTCTGAGTTTGTTTTGATATCATCGAAAGATAAACAAGAAACAAATATGTAATAGATACATATGTATGTATGTAGGTTTATGCTAATCCCAGTATCTAAGAAACAAAGGCAGCAATTAATCCAGCAACTTTCACTGTGACCTACAGCTGTTTCTCTCTTATTATATGCAAATTTCCTAACGCACAAGCACTTTAGATGCTCTTCAATGGGGCGGTGTTCGGTTAACGAGCATCTCTCACGGAGCTAACCCTATTGTTGTCTGACCAACACTTATTCATTTTTTTGGGCAGAGGAAGTTGGCCAGCTGTCGGGCTTGACAAAGGACGTGTATCGCAACAATTGGCGATCGCATTTTCAGAACGAGTCGCCGTGTCAGCTCTGTGGCGCGTGCAGGGCGCTGCTCGATCAGCGGGCGGCTGTTCGGGGGGTGACACGGACAACAATGAACTTTTTGGCCAGATATGAAACCAAAAATATAGTATACAAAAAATTCTTTTTGCCGTACAGCTAAACCCGTTAATTGGCTTTCAGAATGCAAGTTCTGCAAATGTGTTTATACCAGAGCTGTCGAAAATATAAATAGCTGTGTGTCTCAGAGCTGGAGTTGAGCGTGCGTCGTGTTTTGATTCGTGACACGAAAGCGCATGATCCAACACAACGTGTTTAAATTTCGTGCACCTCTGTGGCCAACTTTGCGGAATATTTGATAAAAATCAACATTAAAAATTAAATTAATGATTATAATTTAGTGTCTAAGAACAATTTATATTAAAGTTGTAAGAAAAACATAATTTTTTTCTCACTCGCCCATACGATACGCGCCCATCTTTAATTGGTATGTAAAATGTGCGTGTATTAGTGCGCGCACTGCTGAGCCTGCGCATCTGTGTGCCGCATGTGTGTACCTTTACAAGAGGAGGGCAGATGTGTATGTGTGAGAGAGACAGAGAGAGAGAGAGAGAGAGATAAAGGGCGACAAAGAGTGAAAGCCTTTGTCTGTGATGGATTAATACGGACACGCGCATGCGCTAGGAGCTTGTCACGTCTTTAGTTTCCATTTTCAGGGAACGTAATTAAATAGCAAAATGTGCCTGGCATCAGTAAGCGACTCGGCTGGACATTTGCTCCTTCAGCCTGGGGGGCCTCAGACGCTCATTTCCGCACTCAATTAAAATGACCCTGGACAATGTCTTACGTTTTCGTATGGTGACTGCGCCGGCGTCAATACAAATCTATCTTTCGAGTTTTGAGTCTTCTGCTCTGCCTTTTGACTTTACATTCTATATATAGCATATATGTATTCATGTACGTGTCTGTGTGTGTGTGTGTGTGTGCGGGTGAGACAGCTGCGGCTGCGGCTGCTGCTGCTGCGGTTGGTGGTGTCTTTGTTGACATTTAACGTCGTTTCACCCCCGCGAGGATGTCGCGTCTGCGCCCTCTTTTCCAATCGATTCAGGGTCACGTTTTGTGCAGCAGGCGGCAGTTTCGTTTTTGCCTATCGACTGCAACCAAAACGCCAACGCAACAGAAAACAAGAGGGTGTAGTCGCGAGTGTACGACTAGCGGATATCCTGTACCCAGCGCAGAGGCTAGCTATATATGTATATGTAAGTCGATTTTTATCGGTTAATGGAGCAACGGGCAAACATAAATGTAATCTGAGTGCGGTCTTTGAGAACTATTCCAAAATCGGGTATGATAGTTCCTGGCTATATTGAATTGGCTGCTAATGCTGATGCAAAATATTTCTGCCTGTTAAATATGTACACCAAGCCATTATACCCAATTTCAATGCGTATAGGGTATAAAAAACGGTCAGCAACAAATACGAACAGAGACGAAGCAAACCAAACTTAAGCTCATAGTTTAACTCGGCCGAAAGGGCAAATATGAATTGTTGTTGTTGTAATCCGTTGCGCTTACCTGTTGCTGTTTTTGTTGCTGCTTCCGCTGCTGCGCTGTTGTGGAGCGTTTAGCCGGTGTTTTTTTTTGTTTATTTGATTTCAGGGTCGCTCGTTTTGTTTGTTTCGCCCGTTTTCCGTTTTGGCAAAATATTAAACACAATCAAACCAAATGCTTACGAACAAATTTGGATAAGAACACGCGCCAATTTCCGTTTTTTGGATTCTATTAATTTGTTTTGCCAGTTGGCAGTGTGATGTGCTGCAGAAGGCGAAAATGCCCTCGAACACAATTTTGTGTTGACGTATTTAAATGGAGTGTTTTGTTTATTGAGTAAATTTCATGTGATCTCGTACTTAATTGCGCTAAGTGCGCGCACCGACCGCAGCGTCCGATGTTAATCTTTCGACTGCCCGCGATGTCCAATTTGACATATCGTTATCGGTACCAAACTCAAAATGGCATGCAAACATCGATAGCACGATAATGCATACGATATTTTCATGACAGTGCTGCAAAATTGTAAATAATGTTGCGCAACATTTACATAGCAGCATGCTGATTAGCTTAGGAACATGTACGCTCTTTTGCATGGTGTTTTGTGATGGTCCCATAAATGTGTTGCTCCAACAGCATGTCGCTCACAACATCTTAGCTTGCATAGAAACATTTATGACCGATATCTTTAATCTACAGGCATTTGCGCGGTTAATCGAAATTTGAAATGTGTAACCAGCCTACTGTGTCATGTTTAATCTCTTATGGCATCAAACAATATTTATTAATATACAATATTTAGTAATATATTTTAAATAATTTTCTTAAGTCTAAGGTGCCATTAAATACGAATTTCAATGCAGTTTGACATTCATTGGGCATACAAAGTGGAGTTTTAACAATCAGAATCCCTGAAAGGCTGCAATAAAAACAACGAGTTGTTTGACCAGCTTGAATTCTTTGACTTGTATCTAGTTTTAAATGGCAATGACAAGTTTTTTTTTTGCTTAAATCTCAAATGTGGTTCTGTCTCGCATTAAAATGCAGTTCTTGAGTTTAGGAGACAATCACAAATCTGCATTGGCCAATGTGTTCAAGACTTGGGCCCACCACTTGGCCATCAATTATGCCATTTTTTGTTGCGAAATCGCAATGCTCGAATGATTGATAAATTTTAGATTTTTTATAAACTTGCCCCCAATTGGAATTTTGCGGCTTGCGGACGCTGAGAGATTTGTTTTGCCCGTAAAGATTAATTAGCTTCAATATCTCTCATCTCTGCTCAGCTCTGAAAATAAATAAATATAAAGAAATACATTTATCTCCAAAGCTGATTCGGTAATTCGTACAAAAATAAATGTTTGATTGTTCAAAGTTATTATATAAACATGTAATTACGTATGTTTTGTGCTTTTTTTATTACATAAATGTGGCATTAGATGGGGATCATCTGTGCTCGATGATGACCCTTAAGGTAGCGACCCTTAACATAAGGTATATCTTGACTCTTTTACTCAAACCCAAATCGAATCAAATTGCAGTTTCAGCATTTTCTGGAACTACCGAGCCCTATTCAGCTGACTAATTGAGTCTAATTGAGACTGTTCGGTTCTAGTATGGCAGATATCGTGCGATGCTCGGTGCTGGCACAGCCTGATTCTCAATATATTGCTGCTCAATTGATTTTCCATAAATCGATAATTGCCATTGACAAATGCCAAATTGAAATATTGAGTTAAATGAACTCGGCCGCATATTAACTGCTATCGTAAGTCGAAACCTGTACTGCCAGCCATTCGAGAACTTTGGCATTATTTATTTGAGCGCACGTCTGAGAATGCTTCAACCAAAAATCAATCACGCAAAGTTGCGCGACTACCAAATACCTCTCAATTAACGGCAAGAAATGATGATACTATGATAAAAGTTGCCAGCTGGGAAACGGACTAAAATATATCTAGACAGATTTTGTAAAAGCTTTCCATATTGATCTATTGCAAGAGCATATATCCATATGATTTGGCATTAAAATTCCAGGGTATATACTCAAACAGATTGTCAAAAAAGTGTTTACTTGACTTTTATGGCGGATTGGCTTGCATTTATGTCAATAACATGCAAGAATTTAAGCCAGGGCTGCCGACCGAAAAATAAAAGCACAACTTTAAATATATATATTTGCTATCTATTTAAATGTATCTACAGGAAGTACAAATGCAATTTTTGCAGACTGTCTAAATAAGACTACGAGTATTATGGACATGTGATATATATTTGAGTGGTGCGTCATATTGGCTCAGTTGGCCCGTTCCAAAAGCGAAAACCCGTTCGAAACCCCTCTGGCATTGTTACCAACAATGCTTTGGGGTAGCTCTCCCTCTGCCTCTCGCCTCTCTCTCTCTCTCTCTCTCTCTCTCTCTCTCTCACACTCTCTGAACTGGATAAACATTTCTCCGATACAAACAGAGCGTCGCGTCGCGTCGCGTCGCCTCGCTGGGGCTCGCATGTGCATGATGGATACTCGTTCGGTTTTGGATATATGGGCCAGTCTATCGGAAGGTATCGCCTCGTCGTCGTGGTCGGCAACATTATTGCCTCAGTCTTTGGCCGGCCTTCAATCGCGCAGCTTAGTTCCCATTCGGTGTGCGGCCAAACGCTTTGCCATATGCTACTCTGCGCTCTTCCCAGCGATTTCATTGCGCGCTCTCTTCCGTTCGGTTTCTTCTGCGGAATTGCGAAATAATCGCCAGCATTTCGTTTGCGTCAAATATTTGGCAAACACGTGTTGTGCCCCATAATTGCGACCAGCATTTGTTCCTATTGTTTTTTCTTGTTGTTTTATGCGCCGGCCGCCCGTTGGCCCGACTACGTTCGCGTCCAGAGTACAAGGTACACGTCATCGGCGACGCGCTCGCACGCTAATTGCTGAGCGGCAAATCGCCACGAGATACGCACTCAAAGAAAGCGTATAGAAACAAAGCAATCCTCAGTGATTCACGGGCTGCCAGAGCGGCCGGTCGAGTTAAGCGGAACAGCGGAACGACAGTGATAGCTGAGAAATGGGCTACGATGAGGTTATCGTGCAGCTGGGCGATTTCGGGCGGTATCAGATGATCATCTATACGCTGATCTGTCTGACATCCATACCGGTTGCCTTTCACAAGCTCGCCGGCGTTTTTCTGCTCGCCACGCCGGATTTTCGCTGTGCCCTGCCCACGGATGTGGACGGATCGGCCAGCTATGAGCTGCCCGCGCAGCTGAAGGAGCTCGCGTATCCGGCCACGGACAAGTGCGCCTACTACGAGCTGGCCTATGCCAACGGCAGCTACTACAGGGCCAGCAATGAGACCCACAGCTGCAGTAGCTACATCTATGACCAGTCCAGGTACCAGAACAGCGCCGTCACCGAGTTCGATTTAGTCTGTGGTCGCGGCTTCTTGGCGGCCACCAGCGACTCGATGTTCATGCTGGGCGTGCTGCTGGGCAGCATCATCTTTGGCCAGCTGAGCGACAAGTACGGACGCAAGCCCATCTTCTTTGCCTCGCTGGTCATTCAGGTGATCTTCGGTTTGGTGGCGGCCGTGGCGCCAGAATACTTCAGCTACACCCTGGCGCGCATCATTGTGGGCGGCACCACATCGGGCGTGTTCCTGGTCGCCTATGTGATAGCCATGGAAATGGTCGGTCCCGCCAAACGTCTGTACGCTGGCATCTTTGTGATGATGTTCTTCTCCATAGGCTACATGCTGACGGCGGCATTTGCCTACTTCATCCACGACTGGCGCTGGCTGCAGATTGGCCTGACGCTGCCCGGTCTGCTGTTCATGTGCTACTATTGGATCATACCCGAGTCTGTGCGCTGGCTGCTGTCGAAGGGACGCAAGGCGGATGCCATCCAGGTCATACAGAAGGCGGCGCGTTTCAATCGTGTGGACATAACAACGGAGGCGTTGGAGGCGTTGCTAGATGAGGGCGCCAGCTGCAAACAGGAGCAGAAGCTGGGCCAGGAGGAGGATGATGATGATGGCATCGAGGAGGCAAGGCCACCCTCTGTATGGGATCTGCTGCATTATCCGAATCTGCGACGCAAGACGCTGGTCATATTCTTTGATTGGCTCGTCTGCACCGGCGTCTACTATGGCCTCTCCTGGAGCACCAACAACCTGGGCGGCAATGTGCTGCTCAATTTTGTGATCTCCGGCGCCGTGGAAATACCCGCCTACGGTTTTTTGCTCTTGACGCTCAACAGATGGGGACGCCGCTCGATACTCTGCGGCTGCATGCTGGTTGCCGGCGTCAGCCTCCTGCTGACCATCATTGTGCCGCAGGACATGCACTGGTTGACTGTCACGTGCGCCATGGTCGGCAAGCTGGCCATAACCGGCTCCTACGGCACCATCTATCTCTTCTCCAGCGAACAGTTCCCCACGGTGGTGCGCACCGTGGGCATGGGTGCCGCCTCCATGGTCTCGCGCTTGACGGGCATGCTGGCGCCCTATCTGAACGCCTTGGCCACCCTCTGGCCGCCACTGCCGCTCGTCGTCTACGGCGCCCTCTCGCTGGCCGCCGGCTGTCTGTCGCTGCTGCTGCCCGAGACGCACAACAGGCCGACGTTGGAGACAATTGCCGACGGCGAGCGCTTCGGCAAGAAGCAGCCGGCGGATGCGTATCTGGAGACGGGCAAAGAGCTGCGCGAGACGCAGCCGCTGAACTCTGTCCAGGCCAATGGCAATGGTCACAAATTCTAGGAAAAGGCAAACGAGAACAACAACAACAACAATAAACTTTGCTCTGGCCCCGCCGCTTGCTAGGTAACAATTAATTAAGTTTGTTAATTATACTAAAGCCAAGCGCTGCCCGGGGTCATTAATCTTCTAGCTGACGAATCTTAGCACATTTTTCCTACACATTTAGTTCCATAAAAGACAAAGTATTATATTTCAAAAATCTCATATGCATGCCAAAAAAAAAAAAAAACAGTATGGAAAAAAAGAAAAGAGCGCATAGAAAATTCTTCTCTTTAAGCATTTAGCAGGGCACAGAGGCGGCGCACAGGGGGGGTTGTTTATTTTTGCCCTGCCTGTATTCCATTTGAGCATTTGGCCAAATCCAAGACAGCGTCCCCGGAAGCCGATCTTCCAAGCCAACAAATTGGCCCCTGCCCACTAAGACAGTGTATTATGCATGTATTTAATATATAATTATATAAATATATATATATATATAAATGTGTACTTATGAGCTACTTAAAGCCAAACGAATTTTTAGACAATTGTACTTATCTCTGTGTACTTATGTTCAAAATCAAATATTGTATCTTTTCTATACCAAAGCAAATAAATACAACTTCTCGGAAACGATTTGCTCAGTTTCAATCTAATTTTAAAAATTGTTCAAACTTATTTCCGCTTTGTTTATTCTTTATTTGAGTTTTTTGTATTTGTTATCAGCAAAAAAAAAAATAAAAACGAAAAAACACGTGACATTTACAGGCCAAAAGTAAATTAAATTTTGAACAAGCATCGCAACTGCAGGCGGCAATTAACGACTGCCAGATACTCTGTTTTGATATTAACAACATTTTCCATATACTCTACTCTATTCGAATCATTGTGAGAGATAGGCGAGAGTTTATTTCTTCTAAATAGTATTTTCTAATTTATTCACAAGATCTTAGACATCGCCTGAAATACTCTTTAGCTAATTGGCAATGCATTAGAATTATTACGACTTGCATTCTGTACAGGTGAAAGAACGAAAAAACGCGAACTGACAACTTGAAGACTGTGAAATAATTAAATTTATTTATTTAATGGCAATGCACAGCGACTCATTGGCTTGAGTGCAAAAATATAGTTCTATAAATTAACCAAGGCAGCTGACAACAACAATTTAGATTATATATATGCGACTGAATTGTCGTAAATTGTTTATTTACATAGCCTAAGACCCCCTCCACGCCCCCCTCCCCGTACATCTTAGATTGCGGACTCGGTCAAGTTTATGTTTATTTGAATAAATTTTAGCTGTAGCTCAAAATGTTTGGATGCTCGCACAAAGTTGCAAATCTACAGATTATGTGTGTGTGTATATATACTGAGAGCTGAGCGCGTACGATAACAGAGAGACAGAGAGGCAGGGAGAGCGAGTGAGAGAGAGAATGAGAGAGGGTGAAGGTATGCAATCTGTATGGAATATTGCCAACTGCATTTCTCGCTGGTTGCCTTTCACGATAACCGATCGAATGCTGCAGTGCGTAGCAATTACCTGGCTCTCATCTGAATCAACCCCCATTCGGGCTAGAAACTAGATGCGAAAAGGGCATCTAGACCGGGCTTACCTTTGAGAATGCCACAGCTATGCATATTCGGGGTTGTGATTGGAACTATGCACATTGCCAGAGCGTCGTTTGCTCGGAGCTGGTTGATAGCCAGTCGAAGTCGATGTCGATGTCGAGTTCTTCAACAACAGCTGCATAGCCCACTTAGTCGCGTACTGGCACAGATCGCGAGCGGTTCGTTTCGAGCGCTTCAACTTTGATAAGCGCAACACACACATATATATATATATGTATATATATTAATGTATATATGCGTATGTATTTCCAAAAAAAAAACAGGAGCACATTCTGAGCTCGCAGCGCCCAAATCATTGTGTTGTTTATTGCCCAACAACACGAACTTTTATCGGCAACACGCGGCGTATACGCAACGCCCAAAATACGAATTGTGAGCCCCGCCCCACTCAACAGCTCCCTAATTGCTCGTGCAAGACGCCTTTAACGTGCTCCAAATCATACGACCGTAACAAGCACCGTGCACCGTGATTAGCAATCAGGCAGCCGTATCCCGTATCGAGCATCGACTAGCTGCTATCAGCCATGGGCTACGACGACGTCATCGCGCACCTGGGCGAATTTGGGCGCTATCAGAAGCGCATCTACCTGCTGCTCTGCCTGCCGGCCATCGTCTGCGCCTTCCACAAGTTGGCCGGCGTGTTTCTGCTCGCACGGCCAGACTTTCGTTGCCTGCTGCCGCATGAGGATGCGGACACGGCGCGCTTCGATACCCTGCCGCGGCAGCAATGGCCGCTGGCATATCCCAACGACAGCATCACCGGCAAGGCGGACACCTGTGCCTATTACAATGTCAGCTACACGGAGCAGTATCTAAATGGCAATCGGACGGCCGCAGAAAATGGAACGCTGCAGTGCAGCAGCTATGTCTACGATCAGTCCAAGTATCTGAATAGCGCCGTCACCGAATGGGACATGGTGTGCAGCCGCAGCCTGCTGAGCGCCACCAGCGACTCGCTGTTCATGGTGGGCGTGCTGCTGGGCAGCTTCATCTTTGGCCAGATGTCCGACAAGCTGGGACGCAAGCCCACCTTCTTTGCCTCGCTGGTCACGCAGCTGATCTTTGGCGTGATTGCGGCCGTGGCACCGGACTACTTCACCTATACCATCTCACGGCTAATTGTGGGCGCCACCACATCGGGCGTCTTCCTGGTGGCCTACGTGATAGCCATGGAAATGGTGGGCGCCACTTATCGCCTGTTTGCTGGCGTCGCCGTGCAAATGTTCTTCTCGGTGGGCTTTATGCTGACCGCAGGCTTCGCCTACTTCATCCACGACTGGCGCTGGCTGCAGATTGCTCTGACGCTGCCCGGTCTGCTGTTCATGTGCTACTATTGGATCGTACCCGAGTCTGCGCGCTGGCTGCTGTCCAAGGGACGCAAGGAGGAGGCCTTTGTGATCATTGAGAAGGCGGCCAAGGTCAACCGGGTGGAGATACCCAGCGAAATCTACGACCAGCTTATCGAGGAGGCGGCCGAGAAGAAGCGCAAGGAGGAGCTAGCCGCCGCAGAGCCCTCGGCCTCCGTGTTCGATCTGCTGCGCTATCCGAATCTGCGCCGCAAGACGATGCTCATCTTCTTCGACTGGTTCGTCAACAGCGGCGTCTACTATGGCCTCTCGTGGAACACGAACAACCTGGGCGGCAATCAGCTGGTGAACTTTGTGATCTCCGGCGCCGTGGAGATACCCGGCTACCTGCTGCTGCTCTTCACCCTGAACAGATGGGGTCGCCGCACCATACTCTGCGGCGCCATGCTGGTTGCCGGGATCAGCCTGCTGCTGACCGTTGTCGTGCCGAGCGATATGAACTGGCTGCTCATTGCCTGCGCCATGATTGGCAAGCTGGCCATCACGTCATCCTATGGCACCGTGTACATCTTTACGGCCGAACAGTTTCCCACTGTGGTGCGCAATGTGGGCCTGGGTGCCTCCTCGATGGTGGCGCGCGTGGGCGGCATTCTGGCGCCCTATCTCAATCTGCTGGGCGAGATCTGGCGACCCTTGCCACTGGTCATTTGTGGCGCGCTCTCGCTGACGGCCGGCCTGATGTCGCTGCTGCTGCCCGAGACGCTCAACAAGCCGATGCCGGAGACGATCGAGGATGGCGAGAACTTCGGCAAGAAGCAGCGAACGCCTGCCACCGAGGAGCTGAAGAGCATGCTCAATGGCAAATCGACGAATGGCGACCAGAAGCGCCACTGATTGCGACGCGGCTGGATCATGCCTCAAGGCAGATCACAGCTGGCCATTTCAGCGAATTTAGGCAATTTGCATTTATTTATTCGATAAAAAAGTATTCCAACTCATCTGCTTAACTGTACACAATATCGCTCCAAGTCGCATTTGTCGAACCTCAATTTCATTGTCATTTATTGTCCATTAAAAACAAAGCACAACATTCACTTGGCGTTCCCTCCGTCTGGGAAGCATTGAACTTTATTCTTTATTGAATACATTTGTTTTTATTTTCTGATCTGCTGTGGGTCTTCGGGCACCGACTGATCCACAGCCGAAGCTGTCGCCGCTGATAACGTTAACAGTCAGGCGAGAATTTTCCACTTTGGCTGCGGTTCATTGTACCAAGTGCTATCAGTAAATCCAGAGCAAATAAATTTTCAATTGTTATGATAATTTGTTGCCTGATTTTACGTGTTTTATTATCAAGTGTGTCAGCAGTGTATATTTTTACACCCTGAACCCGTTGACAGTCGTGCAAACGAGGACATTATGTTTTTGTGCACTCGTATGTAACAGGCAGAAAAAAGCTTCTTCGATTCCATTAAGTGAATATATATTGTTGAGCAGCATCAACAGTCGAGTCGATCTAGACTTGTCCGTCTGTCTGTCCGTTCGTTCAGCCTCACAGAGGCTATAAATTCTTGGGCCAGAGATTTGAAATATTGAACGAAAGTTCTCCTAGTACTCGAAAAGATCCAGGTTGCTTAGTATAAATATCGAAATCACATAAAATCGATATCGACATCCTGTTGAAACACCATTTTTCTGATGAAGGGTATCGAATATTTCACTAGATAAAATTGATAAAATTGCAAAAATTTCAAAATGAACGAACAATAAGCATCCGAGCTAATCAGGAAAGCATATTCCATAACTATGGAAAGAAGAAACACAGCTTCTGCATGTATGTATGTGTGTGAGTGTGTAAGTGTGTTGGATGTTCTATATATATAATATTATAAGCATTGCAAGGGTTTTTAAGGGCGTCTCCTAGTCGAGCATACCCGACTAGGTCATTTTTACGTGTTTTTTTTTTAGGAATTTCAACGCGAATTGGATTACTAAGTCGCCACGCACCATAGCAACAGCCTTGACTATAACTGATTTAAATGTTTAGCTATAGAGCTACTACAGCATGAGTTTGTATTAGTAAATGTGCTTGTATTAGTTCATAGAATGTGAGTGTGTGTGTGTGTATGTGTGCTGCATACTTAAGTGTAAGCTGTTAATATTCACACTTTACATAATTTCTTAATATTCGAAAGATTTAGATTTCGAGAATGTGATCTTCTTTCGCTTTCTACATAGATTTCCCCTCAACCGTTCCATGAAGAGAAGTTACCGAATTAATTCGGAAGTTTATCTATGAAATTGTCATTTACAACCTTAAAAACTAGAATTAAGTTTAATAGCTAAATAAACAAGAAACTTAAGCAGGCATAAATAATGTTTGAAGGCTGATTTCATTAGCCTTAGCTTATTTGATCTTTGTTCATGTTGTTTAGACAAACAAACAGCATAGATGTAGAGCACATGAATTCCTTATGCTCGAAGTCAAAATAGTTAGCAGAACACAAGCAGAAATATTCAATGAAAATGCCGAGGGTAAGAGAAATCAATGTACCTAATCGGATGATATTAGTTGCTGATTACTACAGATTTTTATTAAATATAATTATTTTAATTATAATCAATTACAAGATAAAAACACAATCGCTTAGCAAATGGTTCGGCATTAATTTATCGTCAATGATAAATAAATAGAAACAGTTGAAAGGGAGAAAGTA